AAAGAAATGCAGGATATATATATATATAATGTGTGTGTGTGGGTTTAATGTGTTTCTCTATCTATTTCAGATGGGGAACGGTTGGGTGTATGGTGATTATTGGAACGATGAGCGAAAGTGTCATCCTCGATTGAAACCCTTTGCTTTGTTGAGTGACATGGTAAGTGACCTACAACTACGGAACACGCGTCCATAGTTTGAAAGCATTTGACGAGATTATAAAATGCGTGTTACCTCTATTAAGTGTATTTTATGCCTCTGACGTTCACTTTACGTTATGAAGTAAATTGCTTCTTTAAAATTTCAACCTTTTAAAATAAATATTAACTATAGTCGGTCATCAATTGGTGTCGAAATTGATGCTAATGGATCAGGGACAGGTCGCGATAGCCTATACTTAACTGACACTTCAATTCCATAACACTATTTTATTTTAATCAGAGTTCATTTTATATGATTTAGGAAAAACACGTTTCAACTATAAACCATGGATTGCTTTCAATCTTCCTATAAATCGTCTCAGCATTATTTTTTCTTACCTAATCTAACATGAATAATCAGTAATAAAACAGAAATTCAACTGAAACTAGTTTTTGATTAAACAAAGCTGTAAACTCATTTAAAACTCGGCTTTGTTTAAATAAGCTGTTACTGACAGCTATTAATATATATATATAAAAAAATCAGGTCATTTTCTACTTAGGTCAACTAAGATAAATATTATTTTAGTTACTTTTAAATAAAAATGTAAATTTTTTCGACCATAAAAACTGAAATGAATGAATGAGTTTATATTAGAAAAAACTGTATTAACGTCGAGTGTCATGAAGTATAAGTTTAAAAAAAAAATAGTATTTGAAGTTGAGTGAATGAATAAGAAAGTATTTTTATGAACGATTTGAACAAGATATATCGAGTGTGTAGTAGGAATTGAAAAATAACCTCTATCATTTATAAGAGAGCGATGCTTTCAAAGACTTGATCTGTGTTTTAGGAGAAAGAACGTTATGAAGAACCAATTCGAGAGTCAACTAAAGCCCTCCTCGCCCTCGGATGGAAACTCGATCCAAGTGAAGCACGAACAACCCTACCCCGCACATCCAAAGTACGTTTTCATTTCATTTTCTCTCATTTTCAACACTTTTCTAAAAATTACTATTTTACATTGAAACTTTTTCGTCTTCATAAAATGCAGATATTCTATTTTGGGCCTTCAAGGTTGAAAACATGCCAATGAATAATAATTAGATTTATGCTTCAAAAGAGGAGTTATTTTAAGATCTTTCACTTCCATATAAGGAAGGATTAAACGATTTTCTATGAGTATTAAATGATTTGCGATGAGGCGTAGGAATGCAAGCAAGGCAATAGGACTGCCCTTTTTACCCATTTTAATTATCGTATAAAACGCAGGACTGATGGTTTTTGCGTGGCTTTTTGTAGTTTATAATGCCTAACTAAACTCCGTCAGTTTAGACGGGATATGGGTCTCCCCCTCTCCAGCTTGGAGGGGGCTGAGACGTATGCTTTCACCATAGTTTAGTAAATAAAAAAGATTATGCAGAAAATGACCTCATTATTCCAGTAATGTTGACGAATAATCCAAACAATATCGGGGTTGTTGCCCTGATATTTCATATATATATATATATATATATATATATCTCATATTTACTTTTTTTCCCCTAATAGTTCATAATTACATTGGTTTCTAAGTGTAGAGATGCCAACTGCTCTGGACATGCCAAAATAATTTTTAAANTATATATATATAACATAATATAGCATAGTATATTATAAAATGTTTATATTCTATTTAAAAACCAGATATTTACATTAAATTAAACACTAAATAAATGTTTCAAAAATAGCCTGGTTGATTTTATACATGGGGTGTCAGTTAAACTTTTAAAACTAAGAGTGTGCATCCTCGAAATCAGACATGGGTCGGATATGCTTTCATGACGTACGCAAAAAAATCATCCATAAAAGACTCAATACTCACGTCAATAATAAATGCCTAAGAACAAAAAGGACAAAAAAGAAAGTGTTTTTCTTCCGACAACAATGAAGAGGTCCTGGAAAGAACGCTCCTTTACATTTCATTGAGATTTTAAGTCGTTAAGAAGTTCTGAAACTGAGAAACCCTGTAGTGGAGAGTCGGGTAGTCCCGCGCAGCGGGTACCTCCGCCCACTTTCCATTTCAGATGTATAGAATATTTTTTCAAGTCAATGGGCCATCGGACATTAATTGTTATATTATAAAAAGATTATTTTCAAAGTTTCAAGTATTTATGCAGCTGGTAACATGGTAAACAATAGTTTTAATAATATTTTAAATACAGTAGTCTTGAAATTAAGAAAAATTGGTTGAATGTTTCGATTAAACTTTATTTTAATACTAAAAAAATAATTTTTTCTATACATACAGCATTAAAGTATGTAGTCTTAAGTTTAATTTGCACAAAGAAGGAAGTTTATATGTGAACAATTGTTCGAGTAATTACAAATTTACACAAAAATTGGATTTCGGGTAGCCCCGCTCACATGAATGTCGGGTATCACCGCCTAATTTTATTTCATCGATAAATGTACGGTTGCAAAGATTATTATTTTATTGCTTCAAATTTGAATGTTATATGCATTTTTAACAACAAATATATGTTTTAATATTATATGAAACATAAATTTATATATTTGAAAATGAAAATTAAATACTTTTAAAATGTAATTGATGTATCCAAATTAAATTTAATATCAAGAAATCATAAATATTATGATAATCTTTTCGCTTACTTATTTATTTTCTCTTATTTGCGAACGAATCAGTCAACAGAAGCATTTGAAAGTAATCAAAATACAAAGTAAATTTGTAATTTTTTAAGAAGTATTTTAATATTAAGTTTATAAGAAGAGATCAACCAAATAAGTTTATTTTGAAAAAAAACTATTGTTATTAATTATAGTTACTTAAATTGAATTATTTTCGTTAAATATTTAATATAAATTTATATTAATATTATAAAATACTAATATACATTTATAATGATAAAAAGTATGACATTTGTTGTTATTAAATGATAGAATTCACTAAAAGTATATAAATATGCAATAAATAATATAATTTTGTGATAAAAATGATAAATGAGGTTTATCTATTGTCAATACATTGGTCATTCTCACTTACACCTGAAAAAACAGTCAAAAAAGATAATTTTTGTAACTGGGCGGGGCTACCCGACATATTTTGAAAAGAGCTGAAAAACATGTGTTTTTAAATTTCGATTTTTTTTAAGTTTAACTGTTCTTTTTTTGGTTTATTCTTTTTGCATTATTTAATTAGATGATAAAACAATAGAAACATACAAAAATATTGATTATTACTCAATGTTATACAGAAATATAAGCAATACTCCTTAAGTGAGCGGGGCTACCCGACTCTCCCCTATATTAAAATTTATATGTATATTTTTTAGTCGGAGTCTGTTCATACGTATACACCTCAACCAGTGGATATGGCAAATTTGACTCTCACCAAAGAAATGCAGGTTTGTTATCTCTTTATTTATTTTTCTCTTTATTTTTTTTATTTTACGCATTAAATCCTTAAATGTTTTTTCAGATTTATTGACTTGCTTGCTTATTTTCATTTGTAAGATGTACATTCGTTGTTTGTATGTTTTTTAATCATTTGTATTCCTGTATTACTTAGCAGAATTTACATCTTCATGAAAAACCGCGAAACGAAAGTATTATTGTAAAAATTATTCTCAATCGAATTCGTATACAGCAGTAGATGACCCAATATATTATGTTAATAACTTTAATCGATAATGTGTTTAAAATTTTCAAGTGAGTAACGGAAATTTGAGTAACAAAAAAAAAAAAAAACACAATTTTAAATCTTTTCGAAATTTAAAAAAAGAAAACTAAAATCTATGATTTCTGTCACTCTAGAACAGTGGTTCACAAAGTGTATTCCGCGGAACCCTGGAGTTCCAATGAAAAATTTAGGGGTTCCGCTAGACAAATTTTATTTTATTAAAAAAAAATAAGAATGGTGTTTATTATATTCACATTTCCCTCGGAAAGATAATAAAGGAAATTCATTCCATAGATTATGGAAATTTGATTGAATTGAGTTCATATACACAATTAGAAGCCAAATTTAGAACAATTTCATTAACATTATTCTGGTCAGATGTTTTCTATGAAGATCCTAATTTAGCAAAACTAGCTATTCGAATACTATTGCCGCTTGAAACTATTCAAAATATGTCAGTCCCAGTACAGTAAACACTTGACAGGCGATCGGCGGTCCTAAAAATATGCAATCTTAAAAAAAAGTAGCACACGTTGGAGTTCCTCTCGAACTTAGTAGCAATGAACATTTTATTGACTGTTGTAACAAGTTGATATCACGTTTCTTATTATGCTACAATTGTTTCGACATTTTCACTTAATCCTCGTCCCTCAGTGGACTGATCTGTAAAGACACGCCTCCAAGTAGAACACCGAAGTCACGGTCAGGTGGGTGACCACTCTGCGTAGGGACCGACGGTGCCTCGTTAAACTGTTATACCGTAAAGTACTCAACTTCACATGCAGGGCGCGACTTAGCCAAATTGGGGCCGGGGGCAAAAACTTCTTTGGGGGGCCCCCATAGCTTCATTATTTCAGACATGAAGAACCGAACTTTATAGAGGTATTTAAATTTTTTCACCTCATTATAGATACAAGAAAATTGACAAAAACCTAGAATAGCTATAAATATCCTCCAATGGAAATATCGTTCTGTCCATTTTATTGATTTTCTGACATTTCTATCTCTATCTTGCTGAATGCAGTTTTCTGATTCTTAACTTTGTCATCATAGCTGCGAAAAATTCATATCCTTGCTGTCATTAAGGAGGAATTCAGCTAAATTTTCGAAATCACGCTAGCTCAATTAAGAAAATCAGAAGCCTGTATTATTATAAACATATCGCATTTTACGATATGTAACGGAAGAGCCTTTTAATGGGTCAAATTCATTGCGAAAATTTAGCTGAATTTCGCACTAGAAAGCCATGGATTTACGAAATAGTTTTTTTTGTGTTCATACGATAGATTAATGAAGCTAACATAAAACTGACTGATTTTACACTGTACTGATATTTTGTTTAAAACATGTTCACTTAGAAACCTAAAATAAATCTTCTATTCGATTTGGGGTCCCCCTCTGATATGGGGGCGTGGGGCAACCTGTATGCCCCTGCCTTAGCCAGGCTCTGTTCACACGCAGGTCGTCGGGCTACCGAAGCAAGGGAGCCATCCCCTCAGCAGAGGATCAAAATTGCGAAAGCATGTCTTCGGATTCTCCAGGGATGTATCGCCAATAGCTCATTGTGCAGCTCTAGTGTGATGTAAATAATGTAGCTACCTACTTACCACTGGATCATTAATGAGTAATAATTTTGATGGGGTGCGATTCAGGGAGCAGCTGCTACGAATTAGGTAACTATAATAAACCAGGCTAGCTCTCTATGTTATTTTTATAACATTTTAATTAATATAAAAAATACAAACACAACACTAACAAATATCAAACAACATTTTCGTACTACATATACACATCTACTTGTAAACAAAACGTTCTACAGAAGAATCCGAGAGGATCATGGGTGAAGTTTTCCCTAGCTCCCTCTTTCGGGCAAACCAGGCATTACATAACTGATTTTCTAAATCACACCACTTGCAATCGAAAATAATTAATTTTTCGTGTTTACTGCGAACTGAATGATTAGAAATGATGTCTGTTTTATAAGTAGAAGAATGTTTGTATTTTATTATTAAAGTAATTTAAATGTCAGCGATTTGTGACTCATAAAAATTCAAATGCGAAGAGTGGTATGATTTAGTCTTATATCTCTGCAGATTTGCGCACACATTTTATTAAGGAACTGATTCAAATTGTAACAGAGTAAATTTATTTATAAAAAACGAATTTTCTTTTTGCTTCTTCCATTAATTTTTTTAGGCTTGCTCTTTATTTCTTCAATTTTCAACTTAAGATGAAATCTGCAGCTCCCTCTGCCGTCCTGGAGGGGTTATCAGTATTGTTCATTCTTTTATGTTCTAATCTATGTTTAATGGATTCTTATAGACCATGTCTGAAAGATTGGCTGAAAATGCGCATGATATGTGGGCAAAAAAGAAAAAAGAAGAACTGGAAGCTTTAGGTTTGTTTTTTCATTCAGTGGCCTTTTCCAAAAAAAAATGTTTTCTGCAACACATAATGCTATAAACATTTTTTTTTAGGTGGTGGCATTCATCCACAATTAGTTCCGTATGATTTATTGACCGACAAAGAAAAACGAAAAAATCGAGAACGTTCGCAAGAATATTTGAAATATTTACAATACGAAGGCTATAAAGTGTACAGGTACGTCTTTTTTTTTTTTAAGCGAACCTTGCAATAAATATTTTTGAAATCATTTCATTCGGGGTTATAACTATTCTATTTTTTTTTTTTAAAAAAAAGTATTTTATATTATCTTTATTTGAACTAGCATACATACATTTATTTTTTCTTATTATTTTAAGTTAAGAAATGAATTAAAAATAGGAATTTTGTTTTTAAAAAAACTTTAAGTCAAAAGATGTAATAAAGTGGATTTTTTTTAAATATTTTATAACCGTCGCTGAGCAGCCGACCCAATTTTATGGGTTTGTAATTTTGAACCCAATCCAGAAGACAAGGGAACTCATGGATCGAGTATTGGGAGAAATTTGCCTTCGAGGAGGACTTTTTGATGGAGCTAACCCGCTTTTGCGTTGCATGGAGAGGAAGAACACGAGCACATTCCAAGGTTAGCCTAACCCAAGATCCGTCTGCCACTGAGGCTATTTCATGTCAGCACTGTGGTCGGTGCAAGCCGGATGCGGAATTCGTATCGACTGGGATTCGAACCCTGTTCGCAGCATTGGAAGGTGAGCGCTCCATACCCTTGGCAGAATCACCTTTAAGCAGTCTAATTAGGACCTATGATTGGGTCCATTAAATGATAATAATCCAGGTAATACGCAGATAGGCCAGATACATTGATTGGTAAAATATATTGAAACTCATATTACAAATAATAACCTCTCTCTCTCCCCCTACTATACTCGCAACGTCGTTATGACGCCATTGAATTCCAAAGGAAAAAAAACAAAAGCTGTGATCGATCCCACGTGGTTTTATTTAGTTTGTCTTTTTGTGAATCACACTCACCGTCTCGGCTTTTGTCTATTTAAATGTCTTCATCTGTAGAATCGTAAAACGGTTCTTTGCTCATTTCTAAAAAGTCGCATTAGTTGTTATTCTTTATACTAACGTGCCAACTTTCGACAAAAATGAAAAAATTCGAAAAGATAAACGTCGGAAATAATTTTTTTTTTAAAATGAGAAAGGTAAATGTCTGAAAAACGATGCAAAATTAAAAGGAAAATTCGTTGTAAGGAAGAAACCACCACGTCGTACAGAGAAAGTAGTTTATCAGATCAGACTTTTATTTGCAATTTCAATTTCATTTTAAACATTAAAAACAAGTGCGTCCCATAATGGACTGATATCAGTAGATCACGGAAGTCTTGTGTCAGTGAGCGGGTGGGTGACTACTTTGAACAGCCAGTGAAGGGACAGAGGGTGGGTGATATCCGTCCTCTTTGAACTGTTCTACAATAAAGTGTTCGAATTCGCTCATTGGTCGTCGGGGTACCAAGGGAGAGGATCCATACATCCACTTTGTAGATGAGCAAAAACGTCCTCAGAGATGTTTTTCAGACCGTTGCCAATGGACCATGGAGCAGCTCTACTGTGCACTATGGCTACTAGTACGTAACACACGCTCCCAATTGGCTCATACGAACTGGTTGTTGTTGTCCGTGGCCATTAAGACAGAGAGGGTGTGATTCTTCTTGTTTTCCAGAGTCGCCAACTATGGCCAAGAATTCGAATTCTGCCACACCCATATGTCACACCCGTTTTACAGGACGTACCCATTCATTCATCCATCGATCGTAATTTTGACCTGAACCAGAAAACGTTTCGTCTCCAGTTCAGTACCCCAACGGTACGATTTGTCATGGGAACAAGGATGACATTGTGACCCGACACATTTAACGTGCACCAGTCACCATTTACACAGTGAATTCGGACATTCACTGTAATATATATATATATATATATATATATATATATATATCAAGAAACTTNTATATATATATATATATATATATATATATATAGTCATTTATATATATATATAGTCATTTATATATTCATATATGCAGTCATTTTGACTGATTTCGGGCAATATAGGCATATGCTGAGTTTCAGTCTTTCTAGTGTTAAATAAGCCAATCCTCATTTAATGTTGAATAATTTTAAAATTTCTTATTTTTGGAAAGTGTATATAATGCAAGGAAAAGTAACGAAACTTGTGTAAATACTATTCTCATATTACTAAAATACTGTTTAAATGTATTGTGTGTAACTATGTATTGAAGCATGTTAATATGAAATAGAATAAGTACCTTCAATTATATAGTATTTATATAGTAGCTTCATATATATACATAAGTACCTTCAATTAAAAATTTCCTTAACTTTCTTCTGTAGTTCTAATGATAAATCCAAAGCTTTGTTAAACGCTTCTATTAGATTAGATCTTTTTTAGATATATGAAATGCTACATTTGTGTTTCCATTTTATTTTATAATTGGAATTTAGTTTAAATGGCATAAGTATTTAGATTGCGATATCGTCCTCATTTAGTTTTAACAATAAAATGAATAAAACAAAAAAAAAAGCAGAAAAAATTAAACTGATTTAGTTTTTCTTTAATTTTTGGTTAAAAAACATCTTTTATTTTTGATGCCATTTTTATGTGAAAATTTTTTGTTTCTTGCTTTTTATTTAACTTTTGTAGTATATTTTTGAAGATGAAGAAATTTTTTAAAAGAGTTATTTATTTAAAAGAATGCAAATTTTACACAAAAAATAATTTTTACAATAGTTCATTAATATTTGTTGTTACTTGATAATTGAATAGATCGGTATTATAATTTTTTTTTATTCTTAAAGAGTTTGAATTTTAAATGAAGAGAAAAAAAGTTTGAGCGAAATGAATTGGAAAGTTCATGTTATAGTTACAATGATAATTCAGTTATTTGGAGGAATTTTTTGATTTTGTTTTTCTGTGTAATATATATTTTATTTTGATACATATTTATTTTTTTAACTTATGCAAGATTTTAAATTGATGAAAATTCCATGTGCATAAAATGTTTTTTTTTAAAATCTTGATCCCAGCATGCTTTGTTATTATTGCATGGTTGTGAGTCCATGATAGTTATTGGTTGTGTCATGACATGTTGTTGCTTGATTTTTTTTATTTTTAAGCATTTTATTTAATTGATGGCAAGTGTTTTGAATGAAACTAAAATGCTAACATTGTAAAAAATAAATAAAGTTGATAATGAAATTATTGTTATTGAGTGTTGAATGTTTATAAATTTTGTTTTTGTGGGATTGTGGTAATTGGAATAAAAGAAATTATGACAGCCAAAGTGGCCTTAATGTTTAATTAAAATAGTACTTAAAACATTTGTTTTGGGAATTTAAAATTGTTGTATTGGAAATTTTAAATAACAGCCAAAATGACTCTCATTTTTAGAGAAATACTACTGATGCGAAATGTTTTGGGGGAATTTAAAATTTCTGTTTTGCTAATTTAAAATGGCAGTCAAAATGTCGTTCATTAATCCTTAAAACATTTACTTTTGGATTTTAAAATGAGTGTACGGCTTTTAAAAGGGAACAAATCGAGCTGTCATTTGATTTAAAAGATTATTTTATTGTATCAATGAAATACAGCCCCTGGTTATATTATTAGACATTCTATAAGATTCTATGTAAAATTATAATTATCAGGTGATACTCTATACAGCTTTATCGTTTTTATGTGACTGAAACCGGTTTGCATTTGTTTACTTTCCTGTATCTGTGGCTGGGTGGCGCAGTTGGTTTGTCGTCGGCCTTCTGAGCCCAAGTCTGCGGGTTCGATCAGACACCGGATTTTCGGGATGCAGAAAATCCTCAGCGGCCATGTCGTATGATTATGCGGCATGTAAAAGATCTCTGGAGTGCCTTATTGGCTCTTGGCATTTCCGGCAAAATTAAATTCCTAGTGCACTTTAGCATCCAAATAGAGTTTTGGTGCTGCCATCTAGTGTGGCAGAAACTAGACGTCCAAATTCACATGACCAACGGTATCTCACCCATTGTGGTGGTCCTGAAAGAGTGGATATCCCCTCTGGAGAAAGCACTAGGTCTGCTCATCGGCAAGACCGATAATGCAGCTCATTGGAAATAAAAAAGAAACAAAAACTTTCCTGTGTCAATGGGTTAACATTGTCATGCAATAGGTTCAAAATAAATACACATGGAAGATATATAAAACATCTTCCGAATAAAAAACCCATTGCATGTATGTTTAAATATAAAAGTACTGCCTGTAAACTCGTGCAAATCATGTAACTATTAAACTACAGTCTGTCTACTAATTGGGTCTCATTATTATTATATACTAATATAATACCTGATATAATAAATAGTCTACATTCATATAATATACATCGTCTAATTTATCCTATCATCGAATTTATAATGTCTCATTTAATCCATTGATACAGCAACGTAAGCAAGTGCAAACAGTGTCGTAAAAACTCTAAAGCTGTATAGAGTATCAGCTGATCATTAAGATTTGACATAGAATCTTATGAATGCTTCTCATAATTTGGCCCTGGGAATGTATTGTACCATTAATCAACTGAATATTTAATGGATGGTATGGTATGGTGTCGTAAAAAAAGAAACGGAGATATCTCCCATTATGTCATTTAAATGAAACGTTGAAAATGTATTGAAGGAGACATACTTTCATACAAAAAGTGACTTTGGTGTTGGATTTGTTCCTTTATTGGGAACATGAGTATTATACTTCATTTTTTGAATTTTGCCTTATTACTTTCTTTATTCCAACTAATCGACAGTTTTCTTGTTTCCTTTTCTCCCCCGCTATAACCTCTCTCTTTTTTGCTCTATGAAAATGACCGGCTTTTTTTCTGCAACTGAATTCCTTTTTTCATTACATCTTCTCAACTCTTACATTGCTGATCCAAATAACTGCCATTCTTGCACTTTTTTTTGACTAAACTTTCCCAATCGTGATGATATCTTCCTCATCTTTAATCCACTCATCTAACAACCCTTCATTGGTCATGCTCTGTATTTTGCTGGCATTTAAAAATGCATGCTGCAAAAAAAAATATCCTTTGCTAACGAACAACAGGCTAGGCCTCTATACCGACCATGCTGACTTTGCACACTCTGCTAGAATCGGAAGAAAAATAGCGAGGGAGGATGAAGGTTTGGCCTCCACACCCGTTGCTGAAGAGCGTAGGTTTGCTTCCTCTCTCTTAGAGAAACTGATAGAGTACATGGACATCACGGCCATCAGCATGAAACTCCTGAAGCCAAGTGGAAACTACAGCAGGCGAAACAGTTTCAAGACATCGACGCGGGACGTTAAATTCTTCAGCAAGGTAAATTCCATAGATAGTTTTTTTAACCTTTTGCTTACGGCTGTTAACAACGTATGGACCACAAGTGATGGTACAACAGCGTACACCGTAAGCAAAGGGTTAACTGCCGCTGCATTTCCGCCATTTGAGAAATCTTTTTCACTTTCGAATCTTCTTTTCACTTCACGAGAAAACGTTTGGCATGACCCAATAATAATTCGTTTAACGTATTTGGAACTTAGTACAACAGAAGCGGTTAAATTTCAGTTGTGGGCCCTCCCAATTGGCCTATAATAGTTTCCTCTGATAGGGAGCACTAGTACCCGGTAATATAATGCGTGACTCAATTTGAATATTATGAGTCAATAATAAGAGGATATATAGGGCCATGAATGAATATAGTATTTTAAACTCAAATTTCCTAATTTGAACACTATTCAACACTCTATATATACATACATAGTAAGCTGTAGGGCCACATTGTTTATCCTTTACACACTAGTGTATTCTTTACAGGCTACAATTGTGATAAAATGACAAATTTTAGTAGATATGGTACATAGTAGTATTAATCTGTAAAAACCCAGCTTCTTGAATTACGTTTTGTGTAAGGGATCCGAAAATATACATTTTTGGGCAAAATAGGGAAATCTTACTCTCTCCTGGTCGCTTCGCTCCCCACTTCCCCCGTATTTCTCGCTAATAAACATGGAAATTTAAAATTATAAATTTCGTTGGTATTAACATGGAATTGGTTCCACACGTATAGTTTCTGATTCTACTGAGATAAAACATAAACCTAATTGTTTCGCTTAGTCACTAACTGGATTCACAATTTTGTTTTCTTTAAATTTCTATTTAATTATTAATTGCGATAAGATCGCCTTAAATATTTTTCCACCCAAGATATAATTTACTAGTGAGAAAAGTTAATTCGTGAATGTATATAATTTAGTTTATTTTATTCGGATAAGCATGCTATACTCAGTTTTGCACATGAAGCTTCTTAAGTTATTTGCTGTTTAAAAATTCTAAAATGGTTGATAAGTTGCAAAACATATGTTTCTCACAAAATGGTAATAAGGTATGGCAATAAGGTATCAGAAAATGACTATTATAAAAGAACATCGCTTTTAGCTTTAAACATTTAATGTGGGATATTAATAAAAAAACAGAAATGCATTAAGAGCAAAAAATAACAAACATAAATTTTAGAAGTAAATGTCATTAAATCAAGTGTAAAGGAATATTATTCTGGTTAAAAAAAATAATTTAACTTTTATTAATTTTATGACAACCGAAGAAATCTTGATTTTTAATTAAGGATTCTCTCTAATGGTTTTTCTTGTCAATGAGAATGCTATTTGTAAATAGAATAAGCTATTCTCCTCTCAGTTACCATGGCTTCAGAAAAACTCCTCATCACGCCAGTAACTTATGTATTGCCGAAATCTTTATGTCATATAGAGAAACCAATGAACTGAAACCTTTATAAGCATTGTCAAAGATGAGTGGGGACATAAAGTATAGTCAATACATACTTAATTGCAGGTGGTGCTACCCCTCATGGAAAAGTATTTTTCTTCTCAACGTACATTTTTCTTAGCGGCTGCAACAAGTTCGGCTACAGCTTCAAATGTTGGGATTTCTACAGTGAAAGAAAAAGAAATGGTAGCCAGGTGAGATTTTCTTCTTTTTTTTTAAGTGAAAATTGAAAGTTAAGAAAAATGGGGCAGTACAGTGTAATTTCGCTCGTTCGGTAATGGATCCCGATTATATTCATTTCGATGTTCAAAGAAAAATTTTAAAAACTGCATTTTTTTCAAATGAACTAAGAAAAAGAAAATAATTTTAGAATCGTCCGAGCAAAAAAAAAAAAAAAATGTGGTGCACCATTTTTAAAAGACTCGGGACTTATTATTAAAACGTAGTTTTTTATTGAGCGTGATGCCCGGTGGCTGAGCTGCGGTGCTTTGCGCTCTAGTGCCGCAGCTCCTGTGTTCGATCCTCGGGCCGCGAGCAAGGTTGACTCAGCTTTTCATCCCTTCAGTGGGTCGATAAATGAGTAGCAACCATGCTTGGGAACTAATCACTAGGGGCTCCGCTGACCACATAACCTGAACATCTGCTCCTGCCCTCCGAAAGCCCAAGATCAAGAAAACTGAGATGGGCACAGTAGACCTTGGCCCTCTATGTGCTGTCGTGCCACTGAGTTTAGTTATGGGTGTTTGTTTGATAAGGATGGAAAGTGGAATTGCTTGCACAGCTACAAACAATTATAACTTCTGGAACTGAGGGTCAGTTAAAATTTAGGAACATTTGATGTACTTAGAAAGTGATTGGGTGACGGATGGCATATTCTATTTACCGAGAAAATGGCCTGCTTACAGTCAAAAAACAATTGGAACTTGCAATGGAAGCACAAAGTTCTAATTGAGTTTTGAATACTGACCAATCGGAAAATAATCGAAATTTGACTTGACGATTTATTTCTGGTAGTGATAGAATAAGAATAAGTTTAGCGGTTTGAAAATGATTACAACTTGTAATATAGTAAAGCACGCACGTCAATCTCAATTTTATTGCTCTAGATAATCTTAAAATTGTCGACATTTTGATGGACGATAACTCCTCTCGGTGATAATATCGCGATATATTGTGCCTGCAGCGTTTAAAATAGGATTAAAACTCATGTTAGCAAGCATGAAATGTTAGTAGATTTAAGTACACAAAGAGCGTTTGAAAATTTGATTTCTTGTCTCCATCATCACAAACAAGTTAATAAAAATTTAGTAATAAATATAGAATCGACTCAATAAAAAAGAATTAACTATGTACTACTTACACAACGCTTTGATTCTAACTAATTTAAATAATGTAACTGTACCCACTAAATATTACTACTATCAATTCGTTTATATTTTGAATTTAACTCATTGCTAAGTTAAATCAACAGACCTTTTCTAAAAGGTACTGTTATCAAAATTCTACTCCTAACTTTATGAAAATAGTATTATCGTTTTTTGTGCTTTTTCAAAAAGATCCTTCTCACGTAGCTTTCAGGATCAGGAAAATTAAGGGTTATATGCATGAAGAAAAAACCCACAGAATCTCAAAAAATCTGGGTTTCTTTTCTTTTTGACTACAGTGTATTACTAATTTATATAAAAAAATTCCATATTCTAATTTTTGTTTTTCTAGCCTTTTCTGCAAACTAGCCGGTATTCTACGTTCAAAAATGAGTGTTTTTGGATTTGATGCTAGAATATCGGTAAAGTGCTTGCAGGTCTTAATTCGAGCAACCGATGCAAAGTAAGCATTATTTTAATGTCTTAGTTTTAAATCTTTTCTTTTTAATGTTCATTTTTGACGCTGAGTTAGCAGCGCAATTGAATGACTAGAATCACTATCTCAACTAGTACGCATATTACAATAAACGAAAATGAAAAACAAAAATGTACCTACTTTTTTCTTCAGTTACAAGTGTTCGACCCTTTTGAAATACGACGAACATTTAATCTATGGCCATGTTCGTTTTTTGGTAGTTTTCACGCTGTTAATTGACCTCTATTTATCAAGAACCAAATTTATTTCATTCATAAAAAGTGATCTTTATAAGCCTGACCAACAATCAATGTTGATGGAGGAATAAAATGTATTTTTATAGTGTTATTGAATAACCTGCATAAGTTAGCCCGAAAAAAAACTTTTTTTTTTTAAGATTATTTTCGTGCAACCAGTAAACTGAATGAATAAAAAGGTATCGAAAATTCACCTAAATTCCTTTATGAGTTCATCGAAAATATGAAGGACTTTTGCTTGTTTTTTAAAGTGCAAAAATTAATTTTGTAAATATAACAAGTTCAATTTCAAAATGCTAAAACGAATATAAGTTTTCGAATTGGTTCTTGTGTCAAGGTATTTTCAGAAATTCTTCATAACAAATTCGTTAAAAATCAATGAAATCTTGCGTACGAAAGCTAACATAAATTTGCGAAATCACCTTAAAGTCTATTTATATGTCATGTTTCTATTATGTACTGTATTAAATTATTCCGCAATATTCTACTACTATAATAAATTATCGTACTTTAGCTACACGAAATTCTCCTGTATCTCATTTTTTAACTAAATTAAGTTTTCTAACCATAACACTTCTTTTATTCCTTTCTAAACATTTTTCTATTTTGTACTACATTAAATCTTCCCTATATATTCCATTGCTGTAATAATTAATTATACTGCATTAAATTAATTATTTACTGCTACTACTTTAAATTCTTCTATATATTCTACTACTATACTAATACGATAATGAATTTTCCCATCGTAATATTCTAGTAATTTATTAAATTTTCTTGCTATATTCCATGAAATTCTTGTTCCGTATTATTTTTATTACTACATTAAATTTTCCTAATTTATCATTTTATAATGATAATCAATTAATGTTATTTTACTAATAAATAAAATTCGCCTCTATGTTATTCCACTACTGTATTAATTTTTTCCTGCTATGTTACTCTATTGAACTTTTTTTTTCTATATTATTCTACTTCTGTATTGAGTTCTCTTTCTATAATAATCAGCAACACTGTTACTTTGTCCTATTACTATACTAAATTATTATGTTTAACAATTACATTATTCTGTTATTACATTAAATTTTTTTACCACATTGATTGAATCTTACACTAAAACCTATTACATAATCTAGCAATGAATTCTTCTGATAGAGTGGTTCATGTATTACACCCAACAATGCGTTGGAGATTCTCACTCTATTTTGTTGTTTGCAGAACAATAGCTAAAAATTGTCCGGACTTCGTGAAGACGTCTATGCTTACATTTTTCAACCAGGCTGCAGATGACTTGGCTCAACTTGTTTCAAATTTGTCTCTAGGAAAATATAGCTTACTTCGAGGGACAACCATGAAAACATCGTCTTCCCTTAATTACATCCAACTTGTCCTCCTACCCGTACTCACTGCACTGTACGACCACCTGGGGGCTAATGAATTCGGATTCGATTTATTGTGTAAATATGTTTTTGTTTAATCTTTTTTGAAACAGTCTTATTTGATGCTACACAAATTCCCAGTTTAACCCTCCCGCTGCTTATCCCGCGATTTCCACAAACAGTGTTGAGCAAGCCGCTCTTTTCCCGTTCATGGTTTCGTTTCATTTTTTCTGCGCTGTTAAATTATTTATTCAGATCTGACGAACATGTGTGCTGCCTCTCTTTAATGGTCAAATATGTCTTGCAAGAAACATTTCGCGAGTGATATAACTCACATCCCTGACAATATCAACTATACTGAAAATAATTAAAGTGAAACAGGCGCAAATTTCTCGGATACCTCTGGAAATAGTAATGAATCAAAAGATTCTTTTCCTATTAAAAAAAACTCGACAGTGTTAAAAATATTTATATGCAAAATGTATTTGCAAACTGTCCCATTTGCTCCAATTTGAAATTATGAAAGTGTGTAAAAATATGTGCAATGTTCGATGGAATAAAATAAACGCTTCGTTTATTAGATTCTGAATTATAAACTGTTAAACTCGCAGTAAAAGAAGAAAACAAAGCAAGTGAGTCGATCTACTGTTCGCTGAAATGCAACTACAGAGTTAAAAAACGAATTGAATTACAACTTTAACGGTAATTTTATGCAAAACTCCTATTTGTTTAAAAATTTTGCAATTTTTTTCTTTAAATTATAACTATTTATCCATTGCTTTAGAAAAGTTTCTCTTTCTCAGAATTTAAATTTTATAAGCTCGCGCTTGACTTAATGTCTAAAGTAACAACAACAAAAATAAAAGGGAAAAGGATTAGATACTTAGAGATTAGTTAAAGGTTAGATGTTGCCAAATATAAATCTTAGCATTTACATCAAAATTTTTAAAACTATAATAATTGAAGGGGGATGAAAACTGTTTCTAATGTAAACTTTAATATAATCTAAGGTTATCGTTATATATTCTCAGGGAAACATCCCTGAGGATGTCAAACGTCACAGTAAAATAAAATACCTACACAAATAAAATATCTACCTGCCATTAAAAAAATAATAATAATCCCATGTTATTCAAGAAATTTCTCTGTGTACGCTGCCACTCCTTCATTTATAAACTTTTTACACGCCGTTAAAAATCCTGTTCCCATATTCCATTACATTTGATCGTTGTTCCATTTTAGTGAATGAAGTTCAAGTTGCCTGCTATAAGATATTAAACAGTCTTTTTACTCTGGGTACAAAAGCTGATCTGAGCAATAGTAGGTAAGGAGGAATCTTTTTATTACCCTAAGCAACGCTACTTTAAATGAAAGAGGTAGAATAGACATTTTTAAAAAAGAAAATTCGTATTCATTCAGCATCTCCTAGAAGAAAGAAAGCCTCAGCACGGGTTACCGTAAGCAAGAAACTCGATCCTTTAGTAGTCCGAACGAAATGACACCTTTCGTATTTCCCCCTCTGCTCAGCTTAGTAACCCGAACGTAGGGGCACCTCTCCTATTTCCCCCCATTGCGCAGTTTATGTTCGTAACGTTGGACAACTAAATGGATCCGTGGTGAGGCCTTCTTTATTCTAGGAGGTGTTGGTTGAGGCATACACTTTTCTAGGAGGTGTTGATTCATTACGATATTCTTTAATCTTGCTAAAAGAAATCTTATTTGTTGAAAGTGTATGTAGTTTTTTTTTTATCTTTTGGAATGAAAGAATGATAAATGCCCATTTAACCTTAAACAGTCGAGTAACAAACAGGTTTTTTTTCTAATAATTGTGTTTAAATTTTTTTATTACCGTCGTTGAACAGCCGATCCAATTTTTGGGTATATGTCTACTAATGTTCAACTCCTTAACCTTGTAATTTTGAACCCAATACAGAAGGCAAGGGAACTCCTTGTCTTCTGTATTTCTCCCAGTACTCCCTTGGTGTATTGGGAGAAATTAACGTAGAGGACTTTCTGATGGAACTAACCCGCATTTGCGTTACATGGAGAAGACCAGGAGAACCTCCCACGGCCAGCCTTTCGGCAAAGGGACTCAAACCCATGAACCGTCTACCACTGAGGATGTTTCATATCTGCACTGTGGTGGGTGCAAGCTGGATGGGGAATTCACATCGGCCAGCCATTGCCGGGATTCGAACCCGGTTCTCCTCATTGGAAGGCGAACGCTCCATCCCCTAAGCCGTCGTGGCTGGGTTATTTTTTGATAGATGAAGGTTTTTATTTTATTTTATAACCGTCGTTGAACAGCCGACCCAATTTCATGGGTTTACGACTACTATGGGTGACCCGGACGTGATATGAACTTACCTATCCGAAAAGTACGTCCCTTCTATGACGCACACATTAAACAGTTGACTCGCGTCATTGTCCTCCTCGCGCTGTTGCTTCTCAGTCTCAATAACACACAACAAAATTCTGCACGTATTCGACTGCTAATAATAACACAAGAGAGACCATGCACACGACCGGGAACTTAATACAACTCTCATGACAAACTCTAAAAAACTCGGTGAACTTAATAAAGATCTCACCTCAAGCGTTCAAAATCCGGTGACCTTAATCCAGCTCTCCCGGTGTTTCGCAAATACGGCACTAGTGGTATCCGTTCTATTCCTGATAAAATTCTGGTGGGAGAGTATCGTGACGTAAGTATCACTACGATTAGTAAACATCAATTCACAAGTTATGCTAACTCTATTCAATCTTTTGATAGGTTGGCATGGTCGATAACTTCTCTCCCCACAAGCAGGATTTTAAAAAACCACAAAACTAAATATTAATAATTTTACCAAGCAACTCCTCCTTTTAAATATTGCCATCACATCCTGCTGCCCAGTTTAATATCGCAGATAATCGTTATTAAAATTTGTTTTATAAGACAGAATAACATTTGCGGAAAACCCCTTCCAGAACTTTCTTTTTTAAAATAAGGACACTTAAATGGCGAGAAGGTTTTTGAACTTTAAAAGATATTGAAATCGGACTTTTTCAAATACGATTGACATCAAAATTAATGAATTGTTTTCGGCGCAGTATAAAAACACTACTTAAAATGCTCATATTGAGAAGTTTTTAATGATTTTTGTTTAAATTTTGAAACTCTATTTTTGTGTTTGTTTAAAAGTATCTCCGAAGGCTTTGTTTAATTTTATAGAATACTTTTTCAGTGGTAAACTACATAAAAAAAGCATTCATACTACCTAAAGTAACTAAATTTTGATGAATGTAAATGATGCAGTTTTTTATTTATTATTTTACAGAATTATGCACCATTTTTTCTAGAAATGAATGAATGATTTTATTATCTTCATTTTATAATCTTTTCTTCATTTTGTGTTTTGTTTCATTTTTTAGAAAATTCATCAAAACGGAATTGAACAGGTATTATTTTATTTTTTTATTATTATTTCTTTATTATTATTTACTTGATATTTATTTCCTTACTATTTCTTTATTATTATTTACTTGATATTATTATTTATTTCCTTACTATTTCTTTATTATTATTTACTTGATATTATTTATTTCCTTATTATTTATTTCCTTATTATTTCTTTATTATTATTTACTTGATATTATTTATTTGTCATTATTTTACTATTTTTATTGATATTTTTGTTTTAAAATACAAAGGACTCTACTATGAGAATCTTCAAATGCAAGACACGTTAGAAAACTGCCTCATTTTAAAGAATCCTTTTGCATTATTTTTTTTTCAATGATTTGGCACGCGATTAATGCCGATTATAAACTTACTTAAAAATATAAAAAGTAAATTCATTCAATGACTTCACCATTTTTTTCCACAATTTTTAGTTTGTTGATAATTACATCATAACTAAGGTAAAATAATTCTTATAATGTAAAAGATGGGTTACTGTTATTAAATCCTAGGTTATGTTTAATGGAGTCTGAATTATAGTTATAAAGTCAGAATTATAATAAGTAGCCTTAGGTTTTTTTTATATTTGTATGTCTAAGATGTGCGTGTGTACGTGCTTGTGAACTAACGCTGGTTGATGCCTCTGCTTCAAAAAGTAATGTAATATGTGTTGTTTTTCATTTGTAGGAGAAGAATTATAAATCCATATTTCGAAAACTATCTAATATTTCTCTGTATTGATTGATGATTTTTTTTAATGATGAGTATTATGTTGTAAGTTCAATGGACCATAATCACATAAAGATAGTTTTAGGGATAAAAATGTAGCGAAATATGTATGACTACTGTCTAAAAAGGACAACTGTTTTCAAACATCACTGATTGGTGATGACTTTTAGATGACTTTGTACCTCCCAAGATCTTCCACTACTTCTTCAACTAAAGTCATACATATTTTCGCTATCGAATGTTTATTTTTAGTTTAAGTCATTGTTTAACATATTAAATGTTTTTTTCTATACACAATGAGTTTTTTGCTTCATGTGTATCCATTTTTTGTTGTTGTTAAAACGTGATTCTTTTCATTTAGCTTGAAGTCCATTACAATTTAAATCCACGATGAGAAAAAAAAAACTTAATAAGCACATTATTTTATTTCCAATCTTACTAACAAAAAAAAATTACAGCAACAGTTCATACTTTCATCAGGTTTAAAGCTTCACCATTTCGTGACCACTCGCGTGATTGTGGCAATGTAATGATTGCGCACTACCTGCCTTTACTTCCCATTGACCAGAAGCAGGGTGAATTTCAAACCGAAACCTGGGATGGAACCGCAGTGTTGTTACTCTGGTGTAGGAAATCCTACACCAGGTCCCTCATCGCCTGAGGACATCGAAAATCTTCTCCTGCTCAACCAACAGCTGCTCCTTAAGAAGGTGAACAGATCTGGGGGGGGGGAAGAAAGGGAGCAAGGAGAAAAAAATCTTTTCCCTATTCTGAAATTTCAAAACTGGTCCATGTCTAAGGTTAGTATGCAGCTTCATTTGATTGAGAAACCACGAACAGTTTTTCACAATAACCGATTCCTGCCTCTCTTTAAAGCAGTTATTCAATGCAAATTAGGTCACGATGCAAATGACAAAAGTACAGTCAAACCTCGCTATAGTGAACTCCCGGATAGAGTGAAGGAAATGTTCCCTCCCGTGCCTTGCAGTACAAACATAATAATAATTTTTGTGGACAGAGTGAATCGAAAGAAGAGAGGAAACTGATTTTTTTTCTGTCTTCGACTGATTTTTCTCTTCTTCATTTTTTGATCATTTTGAAATGTCTACATAAAATACATATATACCGATAAAACCATCTATTGAGGGGAATGTAGCCATACGCACTTTTTCTTGTTTGCTTCTTCTATCTCAGTTTCCCATCTCTAAATTTTCTGTACGCAAGGCGAGAGTCATAAAAAAAAAAAAATAGTGCGTGGAGTCCCTCCGCGCGGAAGAAGTTAAACTTCGCAACCTGCGACGTTAATTGTGGAAGAATCAGCAGTCGTAGAAGGATCACTAGTTCTATTCAACGACTCTTTTTCCTGCTCCGCTCGCTTCCGTGCTCTGTAATCACGGTAATATTGCTCATTTTTCCCTCCTGGACCTCTTGAACCAGTGGAAGTGCTTGTGGTTGCCTCATCGTCTCGCCCTGGAAAATGTATTTGTATTAATATTGTATGTGAATGCCGTCATTATGTAATTTCAGAAGAGAAAACCTAACAATCAATGGATATTCACAAGAGACCTACCTTGACATAACCTTAAATCCGCCGCATTGTCCGTGGGATTGTTTTCACCCATTTTTTACAATTGTTATCCACTAAGTTTGAAAATACAAAATACTACCCTATTAAATTATATGTGTATCAAAACAAACTAAAAAATATTTATAGAAAAACAATACTTTTATGCTAGTGAGATCCAAAACAATATGGAAATGAATGAGGGAAAACTACCACGTGATTTCCCGGCCAATAAAAATGTAGCGTTAAACGTTTAACGCAACCTTGTTGGAAGTCGCATAAGAAGTATAACTTCAAAATAAGAGTGAACGGATTTTTTGTGATTACGCATTGTTTTTTAATCATTTTTGTATTTCTTTTGATGGGTCATTTATTTAAATAACGTGCCATAAAGGGGAGCAGTTCGGAAAAAGGAGTTAAAATTGTTTGCAGTGAGGATGGAATGAACTCCCGGTTATAGTGAACTGAAATGTCAGTCCCTTGAATGTTCGCTATAACGGGGTTTGACTGTATTACAAAACAGTAAAATGTTGACTGAAGTGATTAAATGTGTTTGTTGGTTTGTGATTTTCATAAAAGCTCATAGGTGAAATGATCTTGATGAAAGGAAGAAAAATTTCCTGAAAACTAAATTAAACTGAGTGATGGTATTATTTCAGGCACAGAGCAGCTTTAGGCAATTGCCTGGGTGCATTTGCTGGTACATTTCCGGTCGCCTTCCTAGAACCCATGCTCAATAAACACAACCAGTACTCCATCCATGGTCGACTCCAGGAGACATCTCTGGAAGCTCAGGCTGTCATGGCCGAACTGGAGTCCAGCATGCCTACCATAGATGATCTCATGCAGCAAGTTGAGAAGTTTGTCAATGGTGGAAAATATACAGAGACGCCGGCTGTTATAGATGTTATCATCCCTATGCTTTGCAGGTATTCCTTTCAAAGCATCTGAGGGGGTACCCCTTATTTTTTATTTTTATTTTGTTAAAGTACAAAAAAAAAATTTTTTTCCATTTCCTTCAAGCTACTTACCATTTTGGTGGAGTCAAGGCCCTGACAGTGTGAATGTCGAATCCGGGTAAGTGTACCTAGATCACATTTCTTTTCAATTCATGGTCTCTAAACTGTAAGGAAAGATCAAGTACATCATATGAATTGCATAGCAAATTATGGCTTTTAATGTTATTCTACAAAGCAGTTTTCTATTAACCGCGGGTATTACAAATATGTATTTTATCTCTAATAAAATCGAGCATACCAAAATTCGTCTATACGTTTTGTTTTATCGCATTTTTACTCGACCGGAGGCAAAACAAAATATAATGATAATCTGCAGTCATTGGAAGTTTGCCAATATTTGTTTGGGAGTTTTGCTGTTGGTGGGACTGCAGACATGTTTTATGCAATTGTACATACGATGGTTGTGGAATTTACATAGGAAAAGGGGTAAAAAAAAATGGCGTTCAAGAACGAAAATGAAATTAATGCAGATGATTTTTCAGATGATGAAGATGTGAACATATGCAAAGACTCATATTTAACTTTTTTCATTGGCCCCAGATCATTTGGGATAGTAAACGGATGCTAAATGAAATATTTGTTACGCAGACAAAAATTAAACTTTCAACTAAGAACTTGTATTATGTTTTGTTTCAGTTCCCTGTATTTATTAATAAAAGAAAAAATAGGTTGATTTTTTGCATTATTTTTCTTCAAAAATTTGTAAGGTAAGCGGTTAAACATTTATTTACTCCAGTTACCTTGATTTATGTTGTGAAAATATCCTTTGAATAGGCCAAAGGATAGCTGTTCCATCATAACTTAATGATTTGGCAACTAACTTGGCAAACTCGGAAAATTCTCTCCTTTGAAATCCTTATTTGAATGTTCTTCAATAATCATTAGAAAACGTAAATGTAAGGGAATTCATGCTACCCAGCATTACGCATGAACAGCTAGTCCATAATTTAGATGCCTCCGAACTAGCCGTGTACGATCACGTTTTCGGTAATAGGGTGCTTATCGATTCTCAATCTCTATGATGTCAATGAACTTTGTTACTGATTAACCCGAAAATTCTCGAGAACCCCCCCCCCCTGTGTGTTCGTTAATCACTTCAAGAACTTCTTTTATTTTCTAGCAATCATGTGACTATGGTGACTTCTGATCATCTCAACTCACTATTGAAAAACATTTTGAGTTTAATTAGAAAAACTGTCGGGGAAGATAATGCACCGTGGATGGTTAATATTGCAGGTGGGTGCAACATTTCTTTTTTTCTTTCAGTTCATTTGGGTGCTATATCTCTTCAAAATAAATATCGCTTTAGTGCCTGCTGTGTGAACAGAATATCTTGAATTGGAAACACATCGTTTAAATTGAAAAATATATTCAATTAAATGATATTCTGTTCATATGAAGGTTCTTAGAGTTTCATGAATCAAATACAAACCCTGATATAGTGAACACGGTTTATAGTGAACTCCCGGATATAGTGGACGAAATGTTCGCTCCCGTGCTTTGCTAAACACGTATATTATTATTTGTGGACATAGTGAACCGAAAGAAGAGAGGAAATTGGATATTATGAACTTTTTTCGGTCTTAGACTCATTTATTTTCTTCATTTTTTGGTACTTTCGAAATTTCTACATAAAATACATATACAGATTTTTAAAACCATCTATGGAGCCATCTATGGAGCCATCAAGTGCTTATTAGCCATAAGCATTTTTTTTTCGTGTTCGCTTCTTCTATCTCAGCTTCCCATCTCTAAGTAAGAGCCATCCCTAAATTATTTGCATTTTTGTATTTTTTGTAAAAAAAACGCAAGACCAAGAGCTATAATAAATAAAAATGAGCACATTTTTTGTGACTACATATTGTTTTTTAATCATTTTTGTATTTCTTTTTCTGGGTCATTTATTTAGATGTGTAAAAAAAGGGAGCAGTACGTACAAATGGGTTAAAATTGTTTGCAGTATGATATAGTGAACTACCGGTTAAAGTGAACCGAAATTTCGGTTCCTTGAAGGTTCACTATAACGAGGTTTGACTGTATATTGATCAAAATTAAGAAAAAAAAGCTGTAAAATCTTATCTGTTATATGATGTGACGGCATCAAAAAATCTCTAATCGATTTTTTTCCAAAGCAATATATGTTTGTTTGTTTTTTCAGCTCATGCTGGACAGATTGTGATAAATTCCTCTGAAGAACTTTTGATAGATCCTGTGCTGCCATTGGCGGAAAAAATTGGTTCTCGTGGAGTTGCTGTCTTCCATAAAGAAGAAGCGATGCGAGGCTATTTGAAGTCAGCCACAGAAGACACCTCTCAAATCGAAGGACAGCTCCAAGATGTAAAATCATCATTCTCTACCATTAGGCATTCTCTTCTTTATGCAGTGTTTAGATGCGTCAATAGGTTCTTTGTACATGGTACCTTTCCCATATAGCGAAATAAGGTTTATTTTCACTCAGCAAAAAATCTTTTAATGTAAACCTAAAAAGGTTTGTGATGCGGTTTACGTGTAAACCTCTTAACCTTAAAACAAGATCTGTGACAATCTGCACATTGCCCTCATCCAAAACCTTGGAAAACAACCTTCTATATTAAAACCTTAAATTAAGGTTGACTGGAGTTTCAAACGTGAAGAAAATCCTACCTAAAATCTTAAATCTAGGTCATTATAAGGTTTCTTTTCACAAAGTCTTGTATGCTCAGCAGTATTTTTGCTTCATTGAAAAAAGGTTTTTAGTACAAGCATTTTCGTGACACTAAAAGGAAAATTCCGGCACAAGGTTACACGCTTTCTGGGTTTATAACTTCTACAGTATTAGTTATCGTTTCGGGATTAACGTCATTCAGTGCACTTTTGCCTGCTTAGAAGATCACCCCACTCAATCAAAGCGTATTGTGTTGACTTTCAGGAGAATTACTCTCGGAGCACTATGGTACTGAGGAAAAGTCACTTTGAATAGGGGAATAGTTTTGTTTTAATCTTACCGGTCGCGCCTTCAATAAACCACCTTTTTTACCTACTTCGCACCCCCATTAGAAATGGGCTTCCACTTGTTACAGACTGTTTCAATCTGGAGAAGTTCTCGTCAAAGCAGCACAGTATTCAAGTATCATTTATAAAAACGTGGCAAAACTTTTTATAACAATTATGACAAAAAATACCTTGAAAATTAATTTTTCCGAAGAAACTTCCCTTTTGTTTTGCTATAAATACCGAAATAATTATAAATAAATGCTTTACTGTTAATAAATGAATAAAACTTGATTGAAATAGAATTATTAAAAATACTTTTTATGATAAATAAACCAAACTGAATCGAGTTATGCGGAACGAGTATATAAGTGATTAAAATATAAAACTGCAGGCACAAAATATCAACTTGAATCATTTCCTTAACCCCCCGTAGAGTTATTATTAAACATATCTTTCATACTTATATCTCAGATCAAAATACGTGAAATATAGAACATTTTAATAATTTATGGCTATGACGAGATACCGGTGTCTTTTTCTTCATTATAAGTAAAATCTTTCAGACGTGACTCCCAAACAGTTAAAAAATTTCAAGTTTGATATAATGTTGTTGTTGGCCTGTTAAGGGGTGCCTCATATGGCCAAGAATTCGACTTCTGTCACACCCTTTTATAGGGCGGACCCATCCACAGATCGTAATTTTGACCTGAATCAGAAGACGATCCATCACCAATTCAGTACCCAAAGAAGTTACTAACAGTTATTTGGATGCGAGAGAAACAGTTGTTATTCATCATTGAAATTTCTTTAAATTACAAAACCAATTATTTGAATAGAGATAAAACAAACTACTTTATTTAGATTTTATATTTAAGTACAAATAGAATTCCGACAATCTAGCAGATAACTATTAGAATATTTTTTTAAAATATATTTTTGGAGCGTCGGAATTGTCAAAAAACATCAAAACACCATTTTGATACATCCGCCACTATTTTTATCCCAGATTTCCTATCATTCAAAATTAATTGTTCTATCATTGAAGGCACTTTTCTCTGCTATTGGCTGATTCAATGGTGATATTATCGATATTTACGCAGGTTTTTGTTTCAATATCAAAAAAGTACTTCACTTGTTTTTATTTCGGGCAATTCCAAAATATTTTTTGACTATTATTTTAATTTTCTGCTGGCAAACATGGAATTACCCTACTGTGCACACATCTCTGAATTGTCAATTTAGGGGAAAGCGTTGATCAAAAGCCTTATTTCTTAGTTCGTAATAACAAAACAAAATCAATTCGAGATTTCAATCAAGTGCTTTTTTTTTATATAAAACATTCAAATTAAAATATCGCCATTCACATACGACGCTTAATTCATATGTATCGTTGACGATAATATATACTACTTGTATTATGGTAATTAGCGAATTGGTTTTGATAAGAATTTTACAACGGGTTTTCAGTAGTTTCAGAAAATAATTTTTCCAGTGGCAGCTGAGATAGTGTATTAATATTTTAATGGATTAGAATTAAAAGAACTTTTTTCCACCACTACTTATAAATATTTTAGCAGTAAATCAAAGGCCAGATAGAGAAATGGTCATGTTCCAAAATCCTTATGAAGTTCTAATATTCTTTTTAAAAAACAAATTCGGCTTTAGATGGCTGTCACTGACAAATATGTATAAACTCAAACGTTGAAGGGTTATGACACTAGTATTAAATATACTAATATTGGTATAAAATATTATATTTTAGCTATATAAATTGAGAAACTTAGTGAAAGAACCAGGTAAGGGACATTTTCAGAAAAAAAAGAAGCTGTATCCGAATTATTTTATTACCAATTTATTAGAAAGTGGGACTAATAACTCTTTTCTTTATTTTATTTACCCCAGAAAAATTTGATCAACATGATTTAGATCAACATTTGAAATAAAACTATTGCAAGCATACTAAAATCTGATATGGATTAGTCATGTTAAGATAAAAGGAAAAACAGTTCTGTTACATTAAATGTACTTTGTTATTTTCTCCAATTCATTAATTCCCCTAAAAATGTCCTTCATCTGGTTCTTCCATCAAGTTCTTTAATAGTGTCGCTATACAGCTATGAGTTTACAGCATAATTGCGTCGTGTTTCTCACAACTGATTTATTGATTATTCAGTTAGTGTACTAAAAATACCTTCTGTATATTGATTTCCGACTATTATAAGCTGCTTCATTATAAATAAAATTATACTTGAAAACTGTTAAAATTTTCTTCTTCAAACAAAGTAATTCTGAAATTATTTTTTATAATTTTTGGATAAAATTTGTCCTTATCATACTTGATCAAACTATAGGTAAGAATTAAGTGCGTCGTCGTTTTGGAAGTAGTCTCGGACATGTGATTTTTTTAAACCTTTTATTCTGTCCTACTATGATGGCTGCTATTGTCATTGATTCAATATTTTACAATCAATCATTTATTCCATTCTTTGATTAACAGGAATTTAGTTTGTTGGTGAGAGACGTCTATGCATTTTACCCACTCCTCATTAAGTACGTCGATTTACAAAGGTAATTCACGACACATTTTATTGAACTTGCCTTTTTATATTTTCTATTTATTGTTTCAAAATACTTGTGTGTGTATTATAAGCAGCAGATGGCCAAACGAACCACTAACGTTTGATCTTCACCTTCCAAGAAATATTCTTAATGTTTCGAGGGGGTGACTTAAAATATACTAATTAATGAATGCAGACGATATTTTAAGTTGCGAAATCAGACACAAAATGTATTTTCTCTGAATAAACAAGGATTTCTAACTCCCAAAATGTAGGGAATAGCCGCAATCTGGAAATTATAGTCCCCGTAGTTTAGTTAGGAGATTGATCCAAAATTTGGACTCCTTAATGTTGATTTTACTTTTCGCGTATTTCGCCATATCTCGAAATTTTTTAAAGATAATTCAAAAATGTTGTCTCACAGTTATTGTTCAGATATTGTATTGTTCATATATTATATGGATGGTGTTTTCTACACTAGGGAACGCTGCAAGCTCGGGACTGCCTAAATTTCCGGGTTACTGTTTCAGTTGTATTTTAAAGCCATTTGGCATCATTGTGTTTTGAGATTCTTGCAAACAATGTATTTGATTACTTATTACTTATGTTTACAATGCTAACAATACTTGTGTTTACAATACTAAAAGTGATAACACTAACGTAAGATGGCGCACAGCTTGCAACACGAACAAACAGTAATAAACAAATGGAAAGAGGCCAAATCAAGACTGCCAAAAAAGCGAGTTATTCAAAATCTAGCAACCATGTCACCTTTTTTAATAATAAATAACAAAATAACTAAAACAAATTTTCACTCCAAACTCCCCAGAATTACATAATAACATTAATATCTAATGAAATACGGCAGATTTGAGCTCAGAAATTATCTAATTTATTTCTTTTATTGAAAACAAAATTATCCGTTTGAAAACATCGCCTATCAGAATAACATGTAATAAGCAGCTGTAAACTTTTTAACCGGAACAAGAGTAGGTGCCGAGCTCGAGATTGTTATTGTTTACATTTCTATTGAAAACACCATCCATTGTATTATTCATATATTGTTCATATATTGTATTATAAGTGCAAATTTGTTCATCCAAAAAAAATTTCATACAAATAATATATTTTAGTAAATATTTATTATTTTATTTAATAATAGTCGAAAAAAATGTTGAATTGTAAGGTTTTGAATTTTAAGTATCTAATTTTATACGGCAAAATTATAAAATTTTACCGTAATAGGTAGACTAGCTCCTGAGAAATCTAATTTAAAATCTAATTTGTCGTCGTTTTACTCCCAAAATTTTAGTGGTCCTAATTCATCGAAAAAAGCTATGTTTATTCAGAGAAAATACGTTTTTGTGTCTGATTTCGCCACTTAAAATATCGTCTCCGCAAATAAGTTAGCATATTTATGGTCGCCTCCTCGAATCCTTAAGGCGGAGTCTTAGAACGTGAAGATTCGATCATTAAATCAAAAGTTATCATTCTTTTGGCGCACTTTACATCAGTGCCGACTGAAAACCCCTTTGAAATCTTCTCAAGTTAAGGAAGAACAGAAATTCACATGTTTTGAAATTGCTTTACTGGTAATAAATCGGACGTGGTTAAAAATTTAAGAGTTTTTGTCATTAAAGGGGATACCTGCAATAGTGTCTCGATCCTGATTGGTTGTTGAAAGGTGTGATAAGCCACTGTACTTCACATTGAGATTTTTTTTGGAGAAATGTAGTTCGACTTGCTTATAATCGATCAGCCGGTGCTGCCAGTCACATGTGTGGTTTTCGTCTTCGTAAAGTACAAGTACTCAATTGAATGGCTAATTCTAGAAATCACTTCTTCAAAATTCATCTTTTCAAAAACTCTTCCATTCAATGACAATATTAGTGGGCATATTGATTTTTAGGATAAAAAGAGGTTTCGTGATTAACGAATGAATTTAAAGACTCTGGTATTCATTTCTATGTATGTTACGCAAGTTTCATTTTATTTTATCGCCGTCGTTGAACAGCTGACCCAATTTTTGAGTATATGAAAACTCATGTTCAACCCCGTAGCCTTGTCATTTTCAACCCAATCCGGAAGACAGGGAAACTCCTGTATCAAGTAATGAGATAAATCTGGCTTCGGGGAGGACTTTTTGCTGGAACTAATCCGCCTTTGCGTTACATGGTGAAGGAAACCACGAAAACTTCCCGCTCTTAGCCTGATTGCAAGAGGACTCTAATCCACGATTCGTCTACTACTTGAGGATATTTTACGTCAGCACTGCGGTCAGTGCGAACCCGGTGTGAAATTTGTATCGACCAGCCATCGTCGGGATTCGAACCCGGTTAACCTCCCAAGTTTAACGTATAGGAACAACTCAATGGTGACCACTGGCCACAGGGCGACTAATATGACAAATGGAGTAAAAAAAACTGAATGTCGAAAATTTGGGATATTTTTAATGAATATGGAATTATTTTGAAAATTACTTTTTCTTTTTAAAAACTTGCTTCTTAAAAGCGTTCTTTATTTTAGAAATAAACCTTGTAATTTTTACCATATTTTGAGGAATGATTCGAAAGAAATGCCTTATATTAATACCAAAAAAGTTTTTTAATCGCTTAAAATATTTAATTTTTGAAAAATTGACCTCTATTGAAAAATACTACGGCTCGATCGCCACTGACCAGCAGCAAAATTAAGTAATTTAGTCCTATAGTTTGGTTCCCCTCTGAAACTTCAGGTATTCCCTTCTCCAAAATACTGATTACACATTTTGAGTGAGTTGTTCTCTTTTTCAGGGCTCATTGGTTGAAACAGAATACCAAGGAAGCAGAATCTGTGTACAACTATGTGGCACACATATTCAATATATGGTCAAAAAGCCAGGTAATTTTCCTCTATTACACACAGATGAATTCATTTTAAAAATGCGTCTAAGCTTACATTGTAATATACCAAAATAAAATGAGTTGATTTTTGTTGACACTGCGGAGATTTTTTTTTTTTGTCTGCCTGAAATTAAATTTTCATTACATTTTTCGAAGAATCATGACTTTATCTAACAAATGACTCAATGTAGATTAAATCCATTTATTTTTATTCTAAAAATCTGTAAATACGTACCTGCACACATTTTCTAAATGGAGGAATTCTCCTTCCTTTTGAACCTATACTTTTTTGCAATAAGAATCGATGATTTCAATAACTGTATTTAAATTGAAAGTCATGATAATCGCTTGGCATAAAAATTTCACGACATTCACTTCATTGCAAAAAAAAAAATCCTTCCGAATAATGTTCAATCGATCTCTTTATTTGAACAGTATTTCCGAAGGGAGGAACAGAACTTCATTTCTCAGCATGAAATCGACAACATGACCCTCATCATGCCTGCAGCTGCTGGAAGAGGAAGAGCTAGTGTACAGAATGTTCAACAGACTGCATCAGCCTCTAAAAAAGTAAGCTTTTCTTTCTTTAAATTCATTGTGTCTAAAAGGGTATTTTTTAAGTAGAACCCTATTTGAAGGTCTTTTAATTAAAAAAATGTTTGACATTGCAACACTTGCAGGTCAAGTACCTGTAATCAGTAAACTGTTACCAATGCGTAACCAATATATTATCATAAGGAAGGATAGTAGCAATGTCATTATGTTAATATTCCTTATTGTAATATTGCAGTCAAACCTCGCTATAGTGAACCTTCAAGGGACCGAAATTTCCGTTCACTATAACCGTTCCGCAAACAATTTCATCGAATGGTTCCAAACTCCCCTCTTTTACGAGGGTTGCTATTTATATTTCTGGCCTAATAATGAAAAAACAAATATGTAGGATCGATATTGGTTTTATTGTTTTTCAAAATATTCTCCATGATGATCAATACACTTTTGCATGCGTTTGAACCAATTTTCAAAGCACTTTTTCCAGTCCGATTGAGGTAACTCCAAAACATGCGTTTTGAATGCATCAACCGCTTCTTCGGGGGTCGAAAATCGTTGTCCACGTAATTTATTTTTGATGTGTGGGAATAAGAAGAAGTCATTGGGTGCCAAATCAGGGCTGTACGGCGGATGACCCATCAGTTCGATCTTTCGCTCCGTCAGAAATGCCTTTGTTTGAGTCGATGTGTGAGAGCTCGCATTGTCATGATGAAGAATGATTCGCCTGTTCTTCTGCTTTTTTCGAATTTCTCCGATGACTTCTGGCAAACAAATGGTCGTGTACCATTCAGAATTGACCGTCCTGCGTTGCTCTAACGCCACTGTTGCCACATGACCGTTAATGCCGAAGAAACAGGCAATCATTTGTTTCGATGTGCTTCTTCCTCGAACAACTTTTGTTGGTTTTGCCTCGTCTTGGAAGACCCATACAGTTGATTGCTGTTTTGTTTCCGGCTCATATGCATAGATCCATGATTCGTCACCTGTGTAGATGTTATACACAGCCTTTGATGTACCTTGAACGTATTTTTCCAACATTTCCTTGCACCAATCGACACGAGCCTTTTTTTGAGCGTTTGTCAGATTATGCGGGATCCAACGCGAACAAATTTTTTTTACGCTCAAATGTTCACGCAATATTTTATTGATGCTACTCATACTAATGTCCAAAGACGCCTCTATCTGACGGTATGTCACATGGCGATCTTGCTTTATCAGTTCACGCACAGCATCGATCTTTTCTGGCACAACAACGGATTTTGGACGACCTGCACGGGATTCGTCCTGGATCGAACATCGACCACGATTAAATTCGTTATACCAATTTTTTACAGCACTGTAGGATGGCACTTTATCGCTGAATAGAGAATTAAGTTCATCGAAGCACTCTTGTCTTGACAATCCACGTCGAAAGTTATGAAAAATAATGGCACGAAAATGTTCACGATTCAATTCCATTTTTTGAAAGAGAAGAACTTTTCAATTTACTGTCAACCACACAAATGAAGCTATAATGGTAAATCGTCAGCTGAATTTATGTTTAAAAATATCAAACTTTCGATTAAAATCGTCTGCGGTCGCCTAGCAACACTTACTGTTGCCAAGGCCAGAAATATAAATAGCAACCCTCGTATTGCACGACATTATTTAAGTAAATGACGAATAAAATGAAATGCAAAAATGACTGAAAAATAATACGCAGTTACAAAAATGTGTTCACTTTTATATTTTATGACTCTTCGTCTTGCGTACAAAAAAAAATGAGTAATCTTTATCTGATGAGCAATCCTCAACATCAGGAAACGGAATATGGAAAGGATATGGAAACACTTCCCCACTCTCTTATCATTCTTCCTCAATTTGTTTTTCCTATTTTGGAACCCGTCTAATCAGTCATTCGAGCACATAAAAATAGTCTCACCCTATCGCTTAGCAAATTCATCGGCTTTGACTTGGAGCATTTGTCCATATAATGCTGAACCAATTCAATAATAAAGCAAATCCAGGAGTTCCCTTGTCTTCTGGATTGGGTTCAAATTGACAAGTTTACGGAGTTGAACATGAGTAGTTGTAAATCAAAAAAAAATTGGGTGGGCTGTTCAACGACGGTTATAAAATAAGATCCACCATCCTTTGAAATGCTAAAGAATGCGTCATCGCAACAAGAAAAGTGTGCCCTGCGTCACACATTTCTTGTGTTGACGCCTGTTATATCCTTCTCGAATGTCTTGAAAATGATGCTTTTTTCAAGAACATCATAATAAATGGGTTTTCTACTACAATGGTCCGATCTTTACAAAATTTTCTTAACCTTCGCTTCAAATGAGATCGAAGATCACCTGGGATATATTTCTTACTACCAAGGAACTGTGAGCGTGAAAACTTGCTGAGAAACGGAAGATATGCAATGCAGAAGGTATTAAAAAAAGAGTAGACATTATATTATTTAGTAACATATTTATTCACTACAACAAAATTGTCTTTCGTTTTCTTAAAATCGCTGGTACACTTGTGTTGGTTATAAACGTAAATGTTTTCTAATTACAATCAACACTAAAACAAGTATCAAATAGAACAAACTCTTTTACTATCACAAGTGTACACAAAGAATATATAAATGTTGCCAACAAAAGAATAATGTAAGAAATAATATAATAAATAATATAATAAATAATCACTGCATCTGCGTTCACGCATTTGCGTCTGGTAATCACTGCATCTGCGTTCACGCACTTGCATCTGGAACAACACTCATTCTTTGTACAACTTCACTGATGACATCCTGTCAAAACTACATTACACCGCCCACTAACACGCATGCGTGTAATCATGGACATTTGCTGTGTAGCAAGGAAGGTACATACGTGTATTTGTTATACGGATTCGTTGCTTGGTGCCTTTGCAGCAATGCAGCCACGTTTTGCTCTCGTATTTTGAATATTTATTAATAATTCTTTTTTCAATCCATTCTGTAAAGGTTAAAAAGAAGCGTGACCGGGATGTGAAGAGGGATAAGGAAAAGGAATTAGCCTCCAGTTTGATGGTGGCTGCACTGAAACGCTTACTGCCCATCGGACTCAACCTATTTGCAGGAAGAGAACAGGAAATGGTACAACACGCAAAAGACATGTTCTTGAAAGGGGTGAGTACACAGTTTTTTGAGATTTTGCAGGAAACACAAAGTAGCTAGATCAGCGATTCCCTAGCCATGGGCTGGTCGAATATCTTGGGGGTTTAGTAGAGTTGCTCGGACCATTTACTGGTCCTTTATGTATGTGGCGTCGTTCAATATTTTGTAATTTCTTCAAAATATTGAATGCCACCACATAACGCCTATTATACATTTGTTTGAAAGAGGACTTTACGCATTTCATGGCTAAGTTAATGTATCGCTTTCTGGCGAAGCCCCCTCCTCGTTGACGTTCGCCAAGCCCGATGATTGCTCTGCAATAATTGTTGTTTTTTTGTTGCACAAAACAGTTAAAATTACTCAACTTAAAATATATATACGAAAAAGAACACTTGTGCAGCCACTTCCCACCTCCAAATATTTCCCCGATGATTATTATAGATCCTTCCAAATAGAATAATATAGATGAAGATTAATCTAGTACGGATTAATCTATTAGTTGACATAAATCAGTTGACATGAATATTTGTTTTGCTAGTTAGTGTAAAGTGGGTGAAATATATTGAAATTGTAAATTGTTTTTAAAATTTAAAAAGTATCACAAGATACATTTTTACCATTCTTAAAATCATTCAAAAATTTGCATTTTCTTTACCTTGTAAAAAAATTTAACGTTTTTCTACATTTTATACATAAAAAAAAAAAAAATACGAATTCTAAAATAATGTTTAACCTGGCGGAGTCTTGTAAAATCTTTATCTTTGTCTGGTGAATAGTTTCAGCTATAAGAAATGTCTTATCGGTGCATAAATAACGTAAAAAATTTAAAATTTATTAATCTAGTTACGATTTTTTAAAACTGATTTTAAAAAGTCGTAATCTTAGACCAGACCACCAATTTCATGTGTGCAGTTAAGGTAAAAAATGCATAAATTTACCGATACTCCGGTGAAAATTTTATTCACCTAAGTTCCGACTTCACCAGTTTAGACAGTCTTATCGGTGCAAATGATGTTTATTAATACTCTGGTGAAGATTTTTCATTTCGTTGAAAAAACAGATTGAAATTTTGTTTACAAAACTCCTGTTTTAGCTGTAGGTAATTAATCTGTATTATCCAATTCAACCTTCATCTATGAAAAGGTACCCGACCATACAATCGAGTTAACATATCTCTAGTGAATTGTATTTTTGTAGTGGTAGACAGTACTCCCCATCCAGAATTTAATCTGCGATAGAATTCGATGAATGGAAACCGCTGGCTAATTCATTACTGTTTTGTGAGAAGCTGTATTAAGTTCACTGTCGTAGTTGCTCCTGTGTTGCCATTAGCAGTCGAGTGTATGCAGGTCAACGTTGTGTGTGATCGAGACTGAGTAGCAACAGCGTGAGGAGGTAGATAACGTTGCAGTCACAAGTAGCAAGTCAACTGCTCAATGTGGGCCATCCATCTAGATAGGTGTGTTCAAATCGAAGTGGGAGTTACTGTCAAGGTAGGCGTGTTCACATCCCCTCCGAAGGTCACCCATGTGGGAGGGGGAGTGAGTAGTTACCGACAATGCCAACCTTCGTCTATGAAAAGGTACCCTAACATGAAATCAAATTAACATGTCTGATATACTAGTGAATTAGAGTTGTATTTTTTTAGTGGTAGACACACTGCACCTAAGCTTCTCTAATTGCATTGACAGATGATCAATAAATCTTTTCTTTTCAGAAAGTTCAAGAGTCTGATATTTTTGAATTCATGAAACTTCAATTGACGCTTCCTGATAAAATTGATCCCAGCGACGTCATGAGTTGGCAACACTACCTTTATAGCAAATTGGGCACCAAAAGAGAAAGCACTCAAAAAATCTCACCCGATGAACTCGTTGAAAAAATTATAGACATGGCTAAAGTCTTATACGGATTACACATGGTAATTAAAACCTGAGTTTTTTTTTTTCAGTTTGAATGTACTCAATTCAGAAAAGTGTCAGATGAAGATTTTTAAGAATTGAAATATAACCGAACTATCTAAGCACGTCTAAATAGTTGTGTAGATTAGCTAAATCTAGACAAAAAAAAAACTTTATTTAAGTGTCTTAAAATTTATTTTAAAAAAAGTTAGCGAAGAAGTTGGCTCTAAATTTGTAAAACGGGCATTTTCTAGTTGATGCTCCATTTCAATATTTTCTTCAAATATGATTTAAAAATTTCTCACGGCAAAGTTTTCTCTATTAATACATTACTCATTTGTCAGTAGATTCTCTATTCTTAAGGAAGTACAATTTAAAAAAAAAAGATGATACGACATAAATGAGAAGTATTTAAAACATAAAAGAAATAACTAGGATAACGGGATTAGATAGGGTTGAAAACACAAAATAAAGAATCAGTGCAAAATAACATTAGTTAATCGTTAAATAAATACATTCAGAGCAAAAGGAAATAAAATAGGGTTCTTTATTTTGATTCTTTTTCGAGTCAGATATCTATCTGACTCGAAAAAGAATCAAAGAATAAATTTGCTCCGCCTTCATCACGTGGCATGCGATGATACTATTTCGCTAAGTTTGGTAGAAGGTTGTGAGCAATTAACATTGAAGAAAGTTGCTATTTGGCGATGGTACGGCAAAAATATTTATTTCGCAATCTTTATGTGCATTATTTTAACATTAAATATTTTATAAATCTGATACTTCTCTCTTTTGAGTGAATAGTTTGTCCCTTTTGAGACATTTTGCTGAGAAAACAGTAGTTTTTAAATTTAAAATATATTAAATTAGCTAGAGAAGCGAAAGGTATAATAGCAGATGATAAAGCCAAGTAAGTGACTGAAAAAGAAGTCATTGTTTGCGTTTGGAGAACATTAAAGGTTGTCTCAATTTCAAGCGCGGATATTTTTCTCTTCTTACTCTCGCGCGTGAACGTACTCATAAGTCAAGAGTAGAATGAAGGAAGACGGGACAAAACTCTTTTCATCCAATAGGAGAAAACCTGTCAAGTAAAAATATGAGAAATGATCTGAGGATTACAAAATGGAATATTTTTCATTGTATTTAAAAAGCACTTAAATTAAAGATTCCTATTATGTATACTGTATAGGCACTTTGTATTTTATTATTTAGATATAATGTTTATACACATATAATGTACGCATAAAATACATATATTTTCTGCATTTGTGCTTTTTAGCAGAAATCTACTTTTTTTTTAAAAATTAAAAGCAAATTTTTTCAAAACCATCTTTTTTGATATTAAAGAATGATCTTTTGAACTATGTCTATTGTCACAGATTGATCATCCACAAGGTCAAATGAAGGGCATGGTTCGAAGCGTTGTATCTATGCAGAGAAAGAGGGCTGTTATTGCCTGTTTCAGAATGACGTCATTACATAGTTTACCGAGGTAACTCCCATCTACATCGGAATGCAGAACAACGTTTATTCATTTCAAGCTATATAACAAAGCATGCAACTACTAACACACTCTTTAAGGATTTTACTACTAAACTTATGTTAAATTTTTTGGGGGATGGAAACTGATTTATTAAAAGAAAGCTTATGACTTAAAATAAATAAAAAAATTTAAGACCATTTTTTTGATAGGTGGGTTGGATTTTAAAAATTTTACATTTTGTAAAGAATCGGTTATGAACCTATAAACCACCGAATTTCTGTGTTTATAACTTTTTATAAAATCGAAGAAAGATATCAAGTGTATAAACAATAACGCACAAGAGAAATAAGTAGCTCCCCAGTGTTGGCTTTTCTCCCATGACACTTCATGCTAAACTTTACTGCATATATATATAAACATAATTTAACCTAACCTTTTATTACCTAAACTTATGTAAACAAGACCTTCTTCAGTACTTTTTCTGTATTTTCTGAAGTTATCAACAGATGGCAGCACATACCAATGGTGTAAGGATAGCTCCTAATCGACATTTAAAATTAAAGAAATTTATGGGAAATATAATTCTCCCGACGTTCTAAGAGAGAAATGGTAGTATTTTCTCTGATATTTTGTGTGTAATTTCGTATATTTTCTAACTATACTAGTTTTTATGCCTTCTCATTTTTTTTTATTTATTAGTGAATTTATTATAATTCAAGAAGTGTGTAATTTTCGAGATATATGAACTTCCCAAACTCAGAATGGATTCTTTTTTCAGTGGATTTAATGCCTAACTTTACTTACTCTGATCTGCTTTTCTGTATGCATTACTGACTGTAATGCATACTTTTTGAAATCTTGATTGAAGTCATAAATATCTACATTATCTGAAATTACTATTTTCACTTCCGCTTTCCTCGATCATGATCTTTCAGATATTGATAAGATTTTTTTTTTCATTCAAAAAATATTTTAGAATTCCTCGTTTAGCAGATTTTCAATAAAATTTTTTTTCAAAAAAAAAGAAAATAAGGTTTTAAAAAATACGCATTAAGGTTTTGATTACGGAACATTCTGCCTGCTTCCAATATTCACTTATTGACTAGTGTAGCTTTCTTATTGAACAAAAGTTTTTTTGTCTGTTAAATACGTCATAAGGATTGTGCGTGTCATACTCTAAATTTTTATCTTAAATTAAATTTTTCTTCACAGTCTTCTAAAGATGTTTGAATATAACTATTGTATATGATTTAAGATTCTGATATTTTGTTTTTAAATAGATTTTATTATTATTTTGAATAAAAGGGTGTTTTTCTTTCCTGCACAGCAGCCAGATTTTTGAGATTATAGGGTTTATTTTAGAAAAAAATTTGGCCTGTTCACGAACTTTGTATAAAACTTTTTAAAGTTAAAACGAACCCTGTCAAAATATTTTATTGTTTTATTGTAAAAACGGAATCGGCTCATATTTTTTTTTTTAAACGGTATCGATGAAGTCTTGAATTCATTGTTTCAAAACTGTAACACCTTGAGAAAATATGTTTTTCGTGTTTCTCTCTCTCTGTCTTAAAAAAGGAAGAGAAAAAAAAACATTTTTTGCACAAATTCTCAAAAACAGGACTCGGACTTTAATTTTTAGGACTTTCCACAACATATCAAAAAGCAGTGCCTTATTTTTACTAAGTCAAAAAAACTAAAAAGAATTATGGTTTCTCAACGTCAGCAAAAAAAGTACTATCTTGTTATAAAATATGACTTTAACTTATGCGAAGTAACAATTCAATTTCGCTCGAGTAAATGAATAACCGCAATAATCCTTAAAAAATAACATTACTCTGTCATGAATTTACATTTATCTAACAATAGAACACTGTGTAAGGAATTAACCGGTACAGTTATTATTTAATTATTTTTGCCTGAACACAAAACAACCTCTGATAAATCTACGATTATAGGACCGTAGTTGAACGGCTGACTTTATTTAAAGTTTACGACAACTCATGTTCAACTCCGTTAGTCACGTCATTTTGAACCCGAAGACAAGGGAACTCCTGGATCAAGTATTGAGTGATATTTATGGAGAACAGTTTGATGAGACTAACCCGCATTTGCGTTGCATAAAGAGGAAAGCAGCGAAGACTTCCCACGATTAGCCTGACGGCAAGGGGACTCTAACCTATGATCCGTCTGCCATTGAGGATATTTTACGTCAGCACTGGGGTGGGTGCAAGTCGGGTGCTGCCCGCCAACGCTGGGATTCGAACCCTGTGTTCACCTCATTGGAAGGCAAACACTCTATCCCCTGAGTCACCACGGCTTCTTAATCTACGATTGCGATCAACTACCCTTTCATTTTACAAGACTGAACTCAGAATAGGTTAAATTCGAGATTAACCATTCTAGGTTGCATCTTACGGTATTTTTTCAACCAGCATTTTCCTTGGACGGGCACCTAAAAAAAGGACAGGGCTTTCAATTAAATGATGGACTCTACTAAATAGCATCAATGTCACAGGTGGATCAAAGCAATCCATCGAATTGTTAACTCTGTATTGCTTATACCTTTTGCATGCTGATGTGCATGAGAAATCCTTAACAGGCTCATAACAGAAAGCCTATCGGAAGAGCATGGAAGATGTTGCTATCGACATCCAAGAAACGCATGGCCATTAACTGTCTCCGTAGTCTACAATTTAACAGCCTCAGAAGGTATTTATTCTTCCCTCCCTCCTTTTGTAGATTTTTATTCTTTTATTCTTTTTTAACAATAGCTGTTCACTAACACTCGAGGTCAAATCAAGATCATGTTCATTCGTGTCTTTTGATAGATTAAAAAAAATATTACCGTTATTGATCTTCGACAGCGTTACAAAGCTTTCATTTTTATGACACCAACCACACCCACTGAACGTAAATATACGCAAGATTTTAAATAAAAACGTGATCATACGCAAACTGGTCATTTAAAACTGCGAAATCTCTCGAATGTCTTAAATTTATAGATCACAGGCCGAATGAAAACTTCGATTCTTCTTCGTTAAATCATTTTACAATAAAGAAATTATTAATAGAAAAATTTCCATAATTTTCTTACATAAGAAGTGGGGTGCGTAATAGATACTACATTTAACTCTATTATACTATTGATATAGTATACTATTTACACTGCATAAAGTTACCAAAGTGGGATTTTTGTTGCTAGAATTAATTCATTAAACTATATGTCATCGACCAGAGTTTCCAAACTTTTGCTGACACCCTCACAAGATTAAGTCTATCGTCATATGTCTGCTGTATGACACAGTGAAATCCCGCTATAGGGAACCTTCAATTGACCGAAATTTCGGTTCACTATAACCTGGACTTCACTATATCCTTACCGCAAACAATTTTGATTTATCTTTTCAAACTTCCCCCTTTTTATTACGCATTATTTAAATAAATGACTAATAAAATGAAATACAAAAATGAATGAAAAATAATACGCAGTAACGAAAATGTGTTCACTTTTACGTTTTATAACTCTTCGTATTGTGTACAAAAAAAATATTAATTTTATTATATTTTCTTTAAGTAATTTATAGTTAAATAATTATTTTCTTTAAGGTTTCTGTTCGCTTAAAAAGGTTTCGACACATGGCGAAATACATTAAAAGTAAAATGAACATAGACCGCCAATACCAATTTTGCAAGTACGACTCCAAGTACTAAGTTTAATAATTCTGTATATAGAAAATTTTTAATAATTATTTGTTTCAGGTGCAATTTACGTGTAGTACTGAAATTCATATAAACAAAATCGTATATAAATTGAATGAATCAAAGAATGCCTACATTAGAACTTCAACAAATATGTATTGGGAATGGCCGAAATTAAGAGAACGTCGACTTTCACCGGTGAATGTCAGCAATCACATAGTCGCTTTGCTGAATGTCCGAAATGTTTGTTTTTATCCGATTTCATATTAATTTATTAGCTGATATTATTATATTTATTCGATGTTTTAATATCTGCTGAGGATGAGATTAGGAGAAACATCAGTGCTCGGAGTACCGGATAAATGCATACCAGGCAGTGGCACTTGACCTTAAAAAAAAACACATTAGTGTCGGGTAGGGGAGAGTGGGGTCAATTGTAACAGGGTACGATTGTAACAGAGCAAAAATTTCGAGTGTCGGGTTCTAGATTTGGTTCCTAGGTGGCGCACAAGGTGTATTTAATAAATCTACATGTACACCCCTGATGACCACCTTTTTATGTACTTTTGAAAGAGTTACATCACAAAAGATATTTTCGCGCCACGCAAGTACTTTTTTTGGTATTAGAATATTATATTGTAACAAAGTAATTTTGTTTAAACAAATAAAAATTAGTAACCGAATATGTAAGTGGACACCTTAATTAACATTTC